GTGCGAAGTTGATGTATTTCCTCAGCGACCAGCACAGATCAGCTCCAGGCATGACGAAGTGGTTTTAGTCCTCTTTTGGAAGACCAAACAAAGGCGGCAACAACAATACTACAGCGAGAATAAAAGTTACGCCTTCTTTCTTTGCGTGAACATTTGGGCGGCATTATGCAAATCTTCCCACACAGTGACGTAGGTATGTGGGGGCGTGTTAGAACGAGGTGCATGGTTGACTCTTAACTTTTATAAAGAATATCTCTTTGGATTTGAGACTTTAGTCTTTGCAACTTTACAGATCTTCTTTATGCACCAAGAGCTTGTAACACTCCAAAGAGAAAGGAAAAATTTAAATCGCATCATATGACCCCTTTAAAAGAAGTTTAAGTATTAAAATGACTAAAATTCTAAAGCTAATTATTAACTCTTTCTCCACCATTGATGGAATTTTCCTTCATTTATGAGACAACGCTTTCCCGCCATTTCCGTGTGTTTTCGCTGTTATATGCTATTACACATTTTCTGAAGTAGTATTGAATCTCAGGATCAAAACACTGCAAAGAAGCAGAAACAAGCGATCTCGTGTGTAAGCAGTTGCATATGTTAAATAATATGATCATCAAGCTTTAAACAGCATAGAAATCGAAACTGCCAAACGTTATAGTGATTGAAATGTCGATCCAGGAAGTGGTTTAGGACTGTGAAGCTTTGGAGGTGTTGATGAAAGCGATCTACTATGTGTTTTGATCATCATTCTGAATCTGGTCCAGAACAAAAACATAGTTCTCTCAGCTTTTTGAACAAAACGTTGCTTTTTTTTAACGAAACTCCCCCACTTTCAAGTGTTGATTAAAAAAAGAATGCATGAATAAAACAGGTTTGTTTGTTGATTTAAAAGCAGAGGCTCTGTTCTTTTTTTCTTGTGACATATTGTATGTTTAGATATTAATACAACAAATATTCTGGGGGCATTTTGTGAAAATGATAAAAAATGCTGTTGGTGGCTGGCAACTAAAAAAAAAAAAAAAAAAAAATGCTGGTGAGGAAAGAGTTAAGTATTAAAATCACTAAAACTAATTATTAATAATATTAATACGAATTATAAATGCAATTACTAAAATTACAACTAAAAAATGATGGCTAATTCAAAAGCTTAGTAAATACCATAATGTTATATAATAATACTAAAAATAGAATACTGATTGGGTGAAGTTTTCCTTTAAATTTGAACGGTTTGACCAGTGAAAAAGGAGGGAAGTAAGAGATGTCTAATTTGATCTTTGTTGCTGATGGCGGCTGTTGTTGTGTTTCTCAGAATAACACTGATTCTGGCCTGCCCCATGGACCTGAAGAATTTCCCTATGGATGTGCAGACCTGTATAATGCAGCTGGAGAGCTGTAAGTATGCCCTGATCCTTTCAGCCAGATGGAGAGGATTTATTCAGTGGTGCAGAGATGGATGTTGTACTGGCTGGCACCAGCAGATGAAGAGTGTAGTGATTTAAGGCCGCCTTCAAGTAGATTCAGCAGTCAGCAGAGAGACGCTTCCAGCACAAGCCAGCACCGGCCCTACCTGCCATTACAGTTCTCTGTTATTTACTACTGATTCTCAAATTTGATCAATTCTAGCGTGTTTCTTGTTTGATTGAAGCTTTTTGAAAATTATGATTACCAGGAGTGACATGACAGATGTGGCAGGGTTTTTTGTTTGAGGGGGAGAGCATTTTGGAGTGGGTGATGGAGGGGGTTATGTAATATTTGAACAAATTTCTCCCATTAAAATCTTCATGTTCATGTTTTCTACATGTCAAGCTGGCTTGGCACTAGCTTTGATTATGGTCTGTGTGATTTATTTTTCACATTTTGCTGTTAAATATTGATTTTTCATCATTGCTGGGTAGTAATAGATTACATGTAATCTGGATTAGGTAATCAGATTCCAAAAATTAACAACTTGTAATTAGAGTATATTACATTTTAAAATGCTCATAATCAAATTACAGTTACTTTTTTATGGATTACATGATTACATATTCACACAATGGTCATAAATTATTCCCAATTTGTGACCCTGGAGCACAAAACCAGTCTTAAGTCTCCGGGGTATATTTGTAGCAATAGCCAAAAATACATTGTATGGGTCAAAATTATTGATTTTTCTTTTATGCCAAAAATCATTAGGATATTAAGTAAAGATCATGTTCCATGAAGATATTTTGTAAATTTCCTACCATAAATATATCAAAACTTAAATTTTTATTAGTAATATGCATTGCTAAGAACTTCATTTGAACAACTTTAAAGGCAATTTTCTCAATATTTAGCTTTTTTTTTTTTTGCACCCTCAGATTCCAGATTTTCAAATAGTTGCATCTCGGCCAAATATTATCCTATCTTAACAAACCATACATCAATGGAAAGCTTATTCAGCTTTCAGATGATGTATAAATCTCAATATCGAAAAATTTACCCTTATGAGGTTTTGTGGTCCAGGGTCACATTTATAGATTCTACCTAATTCTTGTTTTTTCTCTTTTAAATTTCCCTTTCTAAAATTCCTACTGTCATCTCATTTAGTTTTGACTATATTCACAAATGTTATGCACTGTAAATAAATTTGCGAACCATGCTTCTGAATTAGAGGGGAAAAAAGCACCTCCATGTATGAAACAAATAATTATGCAAGTTACTGATTATGTACACTGATTATGTATAGATCTATGCATAGAACTTGGCAGGTTTTGGGCATATAATGTTTTCATGTGTATTAATGTTTGTTCATATAATGCAGGGATTCCCAAATGTTTTTCAGCCAAACCCCTTAAAATAAAATATTTACTTGAAATATCCCTGAGGAAGTTAATATTTCAATAATTTAACAACACATTCGCATGTTTACAGTTCTCTGATGTCGGTTAATGGTCACATTGACATTAGGCTTGCCGCGATAGACGGTGCTAACGGTTATACCACAAAACCAGTTAAGTCACTTTCCCACCGCGGCACCGACCCCCACTGTCGTTTTGATTTTTTTATGGTAATAAAAATAATTTAGTTCAGTAAAAGAACAGACACTACAATTAAAAACTGAACACGGCTGTTCAATGCAGCGTGCCGAACGACAGTCGCATCACAAATCAGATTTCATTTCTCCAGTGAGGAGAGCGAGTCGAGCTGACTCACGAGAAGAGTGAGGCGAGACAGACAAGACGATCGCGGATGATTTAGTTTCGAAACGAAATGCAAACGCGCCTGTTTGGCAATATTTTGGATTTTGTAAAGCCTGTTGACTTTTGTCGTTTATCTAAGGTGATTTTGGAAAAAAAAAATATTTAATTGTTCCACAGTGTTTGCTGGTTTTTACTTTATTTAAACTTTGTATAATTGATTTATTTTATTTGACATCAAGGTGTATGCCGTGCCTCCAAGCTTTCTTATTCGTTTTGCTAATAAACGTCCGTTCTTATTTATTTGGTTATATATTGTACATGTTTACTTATTTCCAGTTTTGTATACCTATTTAAACTTTATGTAAGTTATTTTATATTAGGCATAGCCTGCCCTATAGCATGGTGTATTTTTATTAGTTTTGTTAATAAAAGTTCTATGTTTTATATATAGGCTAAAGTGAGTTTGACGTTGTATTTTGTTGTTGCATTCAAGCAATTGACGCCAAATTGACGCTAATTCGACACGGTGCTTTTAAGCTATTTAAAAGCGAAGGAAAGCGAGGAAAAGAGGGAAAATTCAAACGAGCAATTGCTTTACGCCAAAGTGTCGCTATTTGAAAGTGAAAGTAAAATGCTCACGCCGCTTTTACGAGCTATTTAAAAGCGAAGGAAAGCAAGGAAAATACCGGAAAATGCCCCCACGGTGATACCGGTATTACCGGTGTTGTCACACGTCGATTAACCGGTGGGAAAATTTCCTCACCGTCACAACCCTAATTGACATGCAGGTAAACAAATAAAATATGAATATTTTTAGTGTTCAAATGATTTTTATTGTACACTTTTATGTTTTTTTTTTTTGTTAATTATTAGCTTTTTATCAACTCACTATCAACCAAAAAATAGAATATATTGTCTTTCACTTTTTTTTATTTTATATATATCGATATGGTAGGTTTAGTGGGACATTTATAACAAGTTAGATAAGTAATCTAAAAAGTAGTCAGAACACATTGCCTAAAATGGGTAACCCAGATTATGTTACTAACCCATCATGTAATCTGTAATCAGTAATGGACTACAATTTGTAAGTAATCTACCCAGATATTTGATTCACAAAAGAATTGATTCACAAGAGTCATTTGTTTAGGAATCAGACTGCACTAGTTGCCAAGTATGCATTCGATTCTCTAAAATGAACCGACTCGTAAGAGTCATTCGTTCTGTAATTGGACTTTGCTTTATTGATTCAGTATCTGTATTTTAGTTTGGGAAACAGTTAATAGAATCGAACATCATTTAATTCTGGTATTTGGGAATCATTTCTGAATAAGAACCACTTCTCGCTTCCCAGCCCTATTTAAAGCCTATTTTAAACCTGCAATGACAAAACTCTAGAGAATCAAATGAAACATGAGTTGACAATAAAACCACATGCTAATATATATTTTAAACAATTCTTCCAAAAATGAGTTTACATAGATTTTGAATGACTTTTTAATGATTGATTGATTGATTGATTGATTGAGGTGGCATAAATGCTAAGCAAGCAATACTAATCCAAAATGTAAAAACATTTAATTTATTTATTTTTACAAAGTACTATTGACAAGCACATAACATGTATCTTTAACTACTTGTTGTCATGTGGGAGAAACAGTCAATTACTACACTGGGCCAAGTCTGCAAGCTGTATATATTTGATTCACAAAAGAATTGATTCACAAGAGTCATTTGTTTAGGAATCAGACTGCACTAGTTGCCAAGTATGCATTCGATTCTCTAAAATGAACCGACTCGTAAGAGTCATTCGTTCTGTAATTGGACTTTGCTTTATTGATTCAGTATCTGTATTTTAGTTTGGGAAACAGTTAATAGAATCGAACATCATTTAATTCTGGTATTTGGGAATCATTTCTGAATTAGAACCACTTCTCGCTTCCCAGCCCTATTTAAAGCCTATTTTAAACCTGCAATGACAAAACTCTAGAGAATCAAATGAAACATGAGTTGACAATAAAACCACATGCTATTTGTGTTTCAGGGAAGTTCACCTGCATAGAGGCTCGTTTCCACCTGGAGAGACAGATGGGCTATTATCTGATCCAGATGTACATTCCCAGTCTTCTGATCGTCATTTTGTCTTGGGTGTCCTTCTGGATCAACATGGACGCTGCCCCTGCTCGTGTAGGCTTGGGCATCACTACTGTGCTGACCATGACCACCCAGAGCTCAGGATCTAGAGCTTCTCTTCCCAAGGTCAGTTGGGTCTCTGTCATGCTCATCCTAACAATAAAAATCCCTGATGGCGTAGCGTTCACTCTGTTCAGAAGCATGTTATTGATTGTATCACTGCAGTATTTCATGGGCTGTACTAGACTCACTGTCTACATAAACACATCCTGACCATGCTGGAACCTCAGATAGTTTTAAGACTTGGGACGCTCTTAATTTGCAGCAGCTTTGTTAACAGTCACACATGTGCTAGAAAGTGGCAGTGTCACAAGCATCTTTGTATCTGCCCACACTGAGCTCTATAAGTAGGGCTGCACTGTTAATTGAAATAAAACTGAACATGGCTAAGTGCAATTATCAAATCACAAAGGCTAGTTAAATAAATATATGCTCTGCAGAGTCTGGTTTTTCAGTAAATGCTGCTCCACACAAACTCCATCTCTGCATCTGCTCTGAGTTTGGGTCATTTTAACGTGCATTTGGAAATGCAACATGTGCCAACCATCTTCACTTGTAATAAGAAGCACTAATCTAGAGACCTGCGCGCTCCCGCAAGATTCTGTCCCGCACTCGCCCGCTCCCGCAGAAATATATGTTATCTTGTCCCGCTCACATGTCAGTTCATCGCTATCTTATAAAGCTTTGTTATAACACAACGAACATATGCACAATGAATCTTTCACAATGTCTACACTTCGTGTGTTAAAATGAGGATTTGTGACCATGCAAATTTCAGCACTGCTGTGAGTGGATTCTAACTTATTCACCTCTGATTGGCCATTGCGTTCCAGAAATCAACAGCTATGCCTGTGATTGGCTACATTGCGCAACGCTTTAAACACGTGTTATAAATAGAAACTCTACCTAGCCTGCGCATGTTAATCATTTTAATGTTAATATTAGTTGTTCTTTTTGCTTTTATGCCACAGATCAATTACAATTTATTTGTTTTTAGACATTTTATGTTTAGTTATTTCTATTTTGCGGGAGTCCCGCAAATCATTTTATTCTCCCACATCCCGCACACACACTAGTCTCTACCCGGCCGCACCCGCACTCGCCCATCAAGAGTTGTCCCGCGCCGCACTCAGTTGCGTTGGGTCCCGCATAATATTATTGTTATAAAATTTTTCTTAAATACTCAATTTTTTATTTTAAAGTGATATTACAATAGTAATATTTTTTATATTTAGCTATTTTTTTATTTAATAATAATTTAGTAAAATGTTCTTTTTTTTAAATTGTGAATTGAATTGAATTATTTTAAATATTTTTTTCGATTGTGCAGTGTACAAACTAGCACAGAAAATCTAGATTTAATAAAAAAAAACAGGCATTTTAAATCGATCTTAATTTATATCAGAAAAAAACTATTTGTTTTGTTTTATGCCCAATTTGTTTTATGACCTTAATGCCCAATTATGATGTCGAGGTGAACTTGGTTTTGAGAGACAGCCATTCAATTTATAATTTATAAACATATATATATACAGTATATATATGTTTTTTTTTTTTTTTTTTTTACAAGGCTACTGCAGAATTCCCACTGTAGGATTGCATTTGTTGTAAATAATGTTTAGTACAAGATGTGCAGTACCAAAAGGGCTGCTTGTTAGAGACATGCCTCTGAAAAATAAAAAATCCTTGCCATTCATGAAGAATAATCAAGTCCATTTTGTACCTATTTAGCCTGCGGCACTGGGATGGCCAGCATTGGGCTGTACAGCTGATTGTTTATTCATTAATGCTTTGCACTGATAGCTGTTTGTGTTGATGATTTTTCAATGACCTGCTATTATTGGCCATTTATTTATTTATATACAACTTATTGCATAATGTAATTCTGAAAGGGTTCTGTGAGTGGCGTGGCTGTTGACTATTAATTACTTTCTAACAGAATAGAAATTGTGTCCATCAATTCCAAATCTCTCTTTGTGACCTTAAATGCACTTTTTCAGCCTGCTGTAGTACATTGTACACAAGGATTTTCAGATTCTACATGCTGCGTTATGATGAGACAGGCTGGAGTTTGACATGTTGATCATCATTTACAAGCATCATGATTTGGCACACACACTGTTCAGGTTCAAATAGGTTGTCATGCCTTACATAAAATCTTCTAGCATGGATTTATGAAATTAAAGAGGATTGTATAAGTATGTCCTGAGATATTATTCCCAGTTTTGATATTCGGTAGGTGGTTTTTGAGTCAGACATGCTTCTTGTTGCAATAGGGATGGGCGAAGATGTCCATGATCTACTTTTCAAGCAACTTGTGGATATTGTGATCTTTTATAACCTGTAATAATGTTAACAATACAGTAATGACTGCCAATAAAAAGGACTGTGACTGGCCAAATTAAATCACGCATCTTCTGCCATGTGTCTTTTATGCATGGTGATGCATTTGAAAAACAAATTCAGCATGAGCTAGCAGTAGGGCTGCGTGATGAATCAGAATTTAGTTTGTTTCGATTTTGATAGAACAATTATTCTGCTGCATCCCGTTCCTTTCATTTAAAGCAGTGCGCCTCTCCTTAAAAGCCTAAACTCAACGTCAAAATCAGTTAAATCATATAAAGTGACTGTTATTAAAAGCACATTAAACTGCGAAAGACTGTATTCACTGTATTAAGTTTTCGATGGCATTTTTCATTTCCTCTTTCCTACAATGCCTGATAAAGCGGCGTTTATGAGCACAGCGCTGATTTATGTACAGCTGTTACCGGGGAAACCACTATATTTCTGCCGCTCCAAAAACTTCACCTAGTAGCAGATAATATATTTGCATTTTCAGTAAGCCCATCTGCTGTTTTTGTTCAGACCAATGCGATGTTTTTACGCAGCAAATACACAGAGGTGTAAAAGTGAAAGAAGCTAATGTGCCTTCTAAAAATCTAAACAATTAAAGGGATAGTTCACCAAAAAATTTAAATTACCCCATAATTTACTCACCCTCAATGGTGTATATGACTTTCTTCTTTCAGAGGAATCTAATCGGAGTTATATTTAAAAACGTCCTGGCTCTTCCAAGCTTTATAATAGAAATAAAGGCCTCCTGTAGTGAATTGATGCATTTTTATGAGAAAAATATCCATATTTAAAGTTTTATAAACAGTAATGTCGTACGCGTGTTCACAATAAAATGCTGTTCTTCCTCCTCTTGGAATATTTTTTGATATTTGTGTTTTGAAAATATTTTTTGACATTTCGACTCCTATCTAATCTTCTGTTTTTATTTTTTTAGGTAGTTAAATTAATTTTGGGCTACCAAAACCTGAAGAGTGCCTGTCTGAAGGACTACCGGGGATATTTAAATAATTTGAGCCCTGGTTTTAAAGTTTAACTCCGGGTTTAATTACAATTTTGACAATTTATTGTTTAATGTGTTGTGTCTGTGTTGTGTGTAAATTGTGCAAACAGATACATCCATAGACTTGTTCCCATCTGGATATTCCCAATAGATCTAAAAATTGGGAAGATGGCGATTCAGATCGTGATTGTGTGTTATAAGATTGTGATATGATATTTTGGGCAGATTGACTATTGCCTATTACGCTATGCTGCAGTAATGATTATGCATGTTTTTAATGTCAACACCATGTCATTGTATTTCTGTAGCTCCCCTATATCCAGCTACATTTATCTACACAGCTTTGTCTTTTGGCTAAGACTCAAAAGACTATTAGGTTTTGATAGTAGGTGTTATTGATGGAAATAATTCCAAAGGTTTCAATTAAGGCAGGAGAAAGGTTTCAGTAAGAGCATCTGAGATTAGCGGTGAAGATCAGAGTGGAGTATTTCATAGGCGGTGTCTCAGCCCAGCGCTCCCCCGTCATTTCAACAATGCTTTGTGAACCGTGCGCTCTGTAATGCCACCTAAACTCCACAACCACTTTGGTCACTGGCTTGTCAAGTAAAGTGAGTCTCAGCCAAGCGGTCGGGCTGGCAGCCGAGCTCTTTTCCAGGCCAAAGCAGCAGCTCTCAGCGCGCACTTCAATCGGGCCACTTTCTGATGCTGATCACACTCTGAAAAAACCCTGCATAAAATGGTGTATATGACTTTCTTCTTTCAGAGGAATCTAATCGGAGTTATATTTAAAAACGTCCTGGCTCTTCCAAGCTTTATAATAGAAATAAAGGCCTCCTGTAGTGAATTGATGCATTTTTATGAGAAAAATATACATATTTAAAGTTTTATAAACAGTAATGTCGTACGCGTGTTCACAATAAAATGCTGTTCTTCCTCCTCTTGGAATATTTTTTGATATTTGTGTTTTGAAAATATTTTTTGACATTTCGACTCCTATCTAATCTTCTGTTTTTATTTTTTTAGGTAGTTAAATTAATTTTGGGCTACCAAAACCTGAAGAGTGCCTGTCTGAAGGACTACCGGGGATATTTAAATAATTTGAGCCCTGGTTTTAAAGTTTAACTCCGGGTTTAATTACAATTTTGACAATTTATTGTTTAATGTGTTGTGTCTGTGTTGTGTGTAAATTGTGCAAACAGATACATCCATAGACTTGTTCCCATCTGGATATTCCCAATAGATCTAAAAATTGGGAAGATGGCGATTCAGATCGTGATTGTGTGTTATAAGATTGTGATATGATATTTTGGGCAGATTGACTATTGCCTATTACGCTATGCTGCAGTAATGATTATGCATGTTTTTAATGTCAACACCATGTCATTGTATTTCTGTAGCTCCCCTATATCCAGCTACATTTATCTACACAGCTTTGTCTTTTGGCTAAGACTCAAAAGACTATTAGGTTTTGATAGTAGGTGTTATTGATGGAAATAATTCCAAAGGTTTCAATTAAGGCAGGAGAAAGGTTTCAGTAAGAGCATCTGAGATTAGCGGTGAAGATCAGAGTGGAGTATTTCATAGGCGGTGTCTCAGCCCAGCGCTCCCCCGTCATTTCAACAATGCTTTGTGAACCGTGCGCTCTGTAATGCCACCTAAACTCCACAACCACTTTGGTCACTGGCTTGTCAAATAAAGTGAGTCTCAGCCAAGCTGTCGGGCTGGCAGCCGAGCTCTTTTCCAGGCCAAAGAAGCAGCTCTTAGCGCGTCTCTACTTTCTGACGGAGATCACACAGACGTGCATAGAGACTCGGCTGCTGTGCTGCTGTGCTGCTGAGCCTAAATTCTTAAAATTGACATATTTTATTAATTAACACTTTGATCCCCTATCTCAGACTGGGTAGAATAGTCCTTTTAGCTCTCTGGATTTCAGATGAAATGTATTCTTCCTTATAATGGGCATATTTTACGATTTTCTCAACTGGAAAGTTTTGAGCACTTGAGCTAAGCGAGTGACTCAGTGAGTGAACTTTCAGCCACGCGGTGACTCAGAGTTGTTCTTCATTGCCAATCCTGTTGGTTTCGTCTCGCTGCAGGTCTCGTATGTGAAAGCCATTGACATTTGGATGGCAGTGTGCCTTCTCTTTGTCTTCTCTGCTCTGCTGGAGTATGCGGCCGTCAACTTCATTGCACGCCAACACAAGGAGCTGCTGCGCTTCCAGAGGAGGAGAAGGCATCTTAAGGTGAGACCTACGGTCCAAACACACTTCATCTATAAGCCCTGACCCACTGTAATGAATATTCACTGTGTTGGGGATTCAAACCTTCAATGTTCTCATGGTTGCATTTGGAGGTACAGAATACAGTAAATATTTCATATGGGCATCGAAGAGCAGAGTCTGACGAAAAATAGCATGGTGCCACATTCAGGGCTTTCAAAACTTGGCCTTCAACAGTGCATTATTGCGGATGAAAATAAAAATCACAACTTGGATTTACTAGTATACTAGTCAAACTAGTGTACTTAAGAGGAATGCTTAGGGGTTTGCAGAAAAGTATAGACAAAAAAACATGACAAATATTTTTCCTAACCTATTAATTAAATACTTTAACACATTTAGTGAATTTGATAAATATTGCTGAAAATAAATATAATAATAATAAATGTTTTTTTTAATAATTTGCCTTAATAAAAATAATAATATAACGTACTATTTATTTTCAGAAAAATATTGTCTTTTTAATACTTAACTCGTGCTTAAAATTTTTCACATAGTGGGTTTATATACAGTACACGAAAATATATATTACCGCTTATAAGTTTTGAGTAAGCAAAAATACAGTAATATTGTGAAATATGAATACTGTTTAAAATAAATGTTTTCTTTTTGAATATTGTAAAATGTAATTTTTTCCTGTGATGCAAAGCTGAATTTTCAGCATCATTACGCCAGTCGTCAGTGTCACATGATCCTTCTGAAATCATTCAAATATTCTGATTTGCTGCTCAAGAAACATTTCTTATTATTATTAATGCTGAAAACTTTTTTGTAACATTATAAATCACTTTTGATCGGTTTATGCATCCTTGTTTTCATTTATTTAAAATGAAATCTTACTGACCCCAAACTTTTGAATGGTAGTGTATAGCCATTATGATTTAATAAAGATCTCTTCCATAAGGGTGTCATCATATTTGGAGGTTCCAGTTTGATCTTCTCTCCTGACTTTAGCATGCTAAGACTGAAACCAATAATGTGAGTTGAAGTTGAAACATCAATGCTCCTTCCATTCATAGAGTAATGTGAGTTGGTATGGTAAAATCTTTCAAGTGGCTGAGAAAGCTCAGAATAAATCCTGAATCCCACCATTGTAATCCTCAGTTTGCCTCTGGGCTGCTTGTAATAGGTGCAGTGAGATTAGTCTCTGGTTCTCTTAGCCCCACACAAGTAAATCCACAGAGACAGTCTACACAGCCCTTGCTGATAGCAGTCCTTCCACCATTCAGACGCCAATGGCAAATGGTGCAAACTGCAAATCCAACTGTTCTGTATAAATGCCACAGATTCCCATCCAATAGATGCCCCAACCCAAGCAGCTAGTGTTTGGATGGTTAGCATGGTGCATTTAGCCACTGCTGATGGGGACAAAAATCCTCTTTGTCCATTGACATATGGAAAAATAGCTACAAAATAGCTGTTTACAAAATAGCTGTTTATTCAGACAAAATATACATTTCTAAACTGCATACACTAGCGTTAAAAAGTTTGGGGTCAAAATACTTAACAGTAATATTGTGAAATATTATGTTTTCTATTTGAATATATTGTAAAATTTAATTTATTCCTGTGATGCAAAGCTGAATTTTCAGCATCATTACTCCAGTCTTTAGTATCGTATGATCCTTCAGAAATCATTAAATCGCTCAAGAATAATTTCTGATTACTAACGTTGTAAACAGTTGTGCTGCTTCATATTTTGTGGAAATTGATTATTTTTATTAAAGGGGTCATATGATGCGATTTCAAGTTTTCCTTTCTCTTTGGAGTGTTACAAGCTGTTCGTGAATAGATGAGATTCATTGTGAAAGCGAAACTACTTTGGTTGACCTTCCAAAAGAGGACACGACTAGAAATCAGGGGTTAAGTTGTATTTACAACACTGTTCCAGAACACTTCAACCCAAATATTCAGATGTGTGCAGCACATTTTACAGAGAACTGTTTCCTGAACCTGGGAGAGTAGCCTACAATGCTGTCTGTGCACAAAGGCCGTTTCTATAAAGTGGGGCAATTCCAACTTTGCAAGGTTGCATGTTTTCATATTTAAAGAATTTGCCACTGATGATTCAAACGCAAGTTTTGAGCAGTGTAGAGTAGCGCTGGTTGTTTGTCGTTTCTCCGATCACAAACGCAGACATGGTTTTATGGTTACGCAGCACGATATGCAACGCAACGCGTAAAAAGACAGTATAAATCATTATAATCCGTAATTATGTCCCCAATGGATGCAACAAATGCCTCATTTATAATGGGTTTTAATGTTTTTGTCTCGTCGCTCCGGGACACGGCATCACAGTATGGTGAGGGGCGTAACATTTCCGTCACACGCTTGAGGTATTCAGCCAATCACAACGCACTGGACAGCTGGCCAATCACAGCACACCTCGCTTTTCAGACCGATGAGCTTTGTAAAAATCTACGAGTTTCAGAAAGGCGGGGCATAGAGGAGAAACAATAATGTACAGTATGTGGAAAATAATGTGTTTTTTTTATCTTAAACCGCATAAACACATTTCATTACACCAAATACACCAAATAATGTTCTTTTTAGCAGCATCATATGACCCCTTTAAATATTTCTGGGGGGGAAAGTTAGCTCAAAAGAACAGCATTTATTAGATTTTTTTTTTTTTTACTGTGATTTTTTTTATTAATTTAATGCATCCTTGCTGATTAAAAGTATTAATTTTGGGGGGGGGGGCAATTGAATGGCAGTGTATATTGCAACTATTTCATTGTTATATATTTATTCTCCATTTCAAGCTTTTGAGAACAAAAATAATGACAGACTATTTCTCCATTTTGTGTTTAACATCATGGCTTGGATAGTCACTTTAAAGGTTTTATTTTGGGGGGGGGGGAACAATTGAATGGCAGTGTATATTGCAACTATTTCATTGTTATATATTTATTCTCCATTTCAAGCTTTTGAGAACAAAAATAATGACAGACTATTTCTCCATTTTGTGTTTAACATCATGGCTTGGATAGTCACTAAAGGGAATGCTCTCAGAAAGCTCTCACAAAGCTCACATGACCATGACTGCATGCTTAAGTATTAGTGTATATATGTAGTGTTTTCATTTGATCAGGCGCAGCACAGCAGTAGGTTTGCTGCATTATCATTATCACCCCCTGGTTAATGAAACTCCCCGGCCACAGTGATCCACGGCTGGGGTTCAGCCCTTCATTCTGCCTCACTGGGGCTATCAGTCAGTGCCTGCTCTCTGCACTGCAGCCCGGAGCTGTCACCTCCCTGCACTACACAATAAAACAGCTCCCCGGCATTACCACAGGAGCTTATCGACCTCCTCCTCCTCCTGCTGCATGTGCCTCTGAGAGTGTAGAAAGAGGATTCCCCCTGCTGGACAGCACAGAAGTGTATGCTCGGCAGTGAAGGGACTGGCCCCAGAGGAAGCTTGCGTTGAACATACCTGAATATTTATATATACAGTATATATATATATATATATATATATATAATTGTTGAAACTGATATAAAAATGAAGTATAGAGTCCTGGAAGGTAGTGCACATTGGGCAACCTGAGTCTGCCTGTGTCACTCTCACCCTAGTTTTGCTTAGCTGGCATTAGCTAACTTACTACTGAGTGCCTTAAACTCTAATATGTGTATCCAGATGTACCTCATTCACTGCCCTTCACAAATCCTCTCCTGTGGCCCCATGGGATAGTAAAGTGTCCGTAGAGTGCAATAGTTGGGTTCCGGATGTAAAAAATCCCATTCATTTCCTCTATAGGGGAATTGATTTTAACGATAACTTGTAAACCATTAAAGACAGACCTACTGTGAGCTACGAGGTTGTTAATCAATGGTATATGCTTTTGTTGAAGCCATCAGCCTGCATTATTTTAACGTTTTTTAAATAATGGAATTTCTGGTAAAAAATGTAATTATCCGTGATAATTTCACCAAACAGAGAATAGCTAAACAAGCAAATCATGTAAAAAAAAATATATAAAAAACACCTGCCAACTTCTAGCGCTCAAAATGCTTAAATATTTGTGTACATGCATATTTTGAAATAAATGTAAAATATGTTGTTTCTTTATACATAACCAACATCTTAAAATCAATTTTTAAAAATCTATTTATATTCATCAAATGTTTGACTTCGTAGCTATAAGTTATAAGCCGTGAATCAACCCGGAGGTCACTGCACAGGGCGACAGGAATCGAGATTTTCAGATGTGGTTGGACCAGATACAGCTGATGTCAGTTACTGTTCCGAAACAGGCTTGAAAATGATTCTGGCCATTAAAGAAACCTGAAAGGCATAATATGCTTGCATGATATACACCGAGCAAATGCTATTTGTCGGCTTCTCATTTAAATTCCCAGCATTTATGAGGGCACAGATGTTTATTGGAGAAAAATCTAATTTTTGTAAACATATATTCATTCAAGACTCATAACCATTGGGCACATCAGCATAATGCCTGAATCTGTTTCACACGCAGCTCATAAAATATTCATTCCCACTCACCCATAGGTGATAAAACAACAGACATATGTAAATGCAATGCATTGTAATATCCTACACAGATAAATGCAGTACATCTCTCAACGTGTACAATAGAGGTGACTTTCACTTTAATATATGCTTTATATAAAATCATCACTGTCCAGGACATCTGATGCTGAATATTTTGAATATATATATTTATGATAAAGGCACGTATTTCGGTTTCTGTTTATCACAACATCTCAATAAAAGACATCAAAACATCAGTCACATCTACGGGCTTTGATTGATGAAGGAGCCGAGAGGTCCTGTATATAGCGGTGGAAGCCACACCCCTGATTTGCAAACGCCGGCGTGAGCTGCATTCTGACGTGCGGCTGTAATATCGCACTCCGCTGTAAACCTCGAGGATGCGGGTGAGCGTTCTGCTTATTGTTTTTTCCCTCCCCTCTTAAATGGCAGAGTTTTAATTAGGAAGGGAGGGTAATGATTCTGCCAGGGGCCGGGCCGGGATGGAAAGTGACGCAGGACGCAGCGGTGCTGCAGCCCGGCTCCTCTTTACAGCTCCACGTCACGTCTCGGAGCCACCACATTAATCATATGGCAGCAGAAATAAAGCCGAGCATCCGTAATACTTACAAATGGTGAGCCGGTGCAACTGAAGGACAAGGAAAGGTTGTAGCACCCCGGCAACAAAGATAGCATTGTATACAAAAACAAAGGGGCAGTGGAATAACGTCACCCCTCACACACACACACACACACATCCTGGTGTGATCTTCCATTTACCCCGGCACACATTAACAGTTATAAATGGGATGGCTGATAGACAAGGACATAAGGAGGACAAAGTGTCTAAAAATGGAGTCCTGCCTAGAAAATGGCTGATCTTTCAGTAAAAGCGAGTGGGATAGTTCCCAGCGCTAGATGTTGGCGCCTGCAAATTGAAAACATGCATTATGAACATAATGATCCTATTTCGCATCCGCGCTTTGTGTTTAAACAGGCGCAATCACAGTGAAATATCTATGCGTGCTGAAATGTAATTAACCGGGGTGGTTATTTTGGTTCTGTTTTCATTAATGTGTATGATCGAGTCCGTCTGCTGAATCTCAAATAAGAGCGTGTGGAGGTGGGGAGCAGGGCAAGGTCAGTCCATTAACTTTTGTGAGATATTGTGACTTCTGAATACACCCTGTGCCATCTAGCTGACATATGTCAATAGTTAATACTCATAAAAATCTGTAATCCACCCAAGAGGACTGGAGGATTTAAAGGGATAAGGAATTCTCCCACCCTCATGCCATCCCAGATGAATATGAGTTTCTTTCTTCAGATGGACACAAATGGTTTTTTTTTTTCCATGGACGGTAACCCAAAAGTTGATGCCTCAAAGACCACACAAAATGATCATGATGGTAATCCATATGAAAGAAGTGATATTTGTGTAAGAAGAAGAATGGTATTTTAAACTTCTTTAGCTATAAACAATGTGCTTAAGTCACGTTTCACAGTGTTTTTGGTGGGTGTAAACTAATGAACCCATGTATGACAGTTGACCTGAAGAGAGGGCCACTGTCTTGCAGAGTTTAGCGCCAACCCCGATTAAACACACATGAGCTAAAGTTATCAAGGTCTTCAGACTCATGAGAAACTTCCAGGCCTGTGTGTTGGAGCTAGAGGTCTGAATGAGAGGTCTGAGTGGTACTGTTAAATTTAGAGCCCGAACCCGAAATCAGTTGAGAGCCAATTTTTTTAAATATGCTGTATTTCTGGATTGCATGCAACAGTGTATAAACAAATATGTGTAAGGAAACAGAAATGGAAAGAGCGTGAGATAAGGGCAGCAAGTGCAAAACAAGTTTCATTTTAAATACATACAGCAAACAGCATACACACATTATATCCGGGGGGGGGGGGGGGGGGTTGAGACTTCAAAATTGAGGGTTTCATCCACTTGTTTTTTCTAAAAATCTGAATTTGTGTTTATCTGAGGAAAGAAAACCATATACATATGGGGTGACATGAGGGTGAATAAATGATTTTTCACTTTGGGTGTAGTTTCCCTTTAAAGGGGTCATATGATGCTTTTTTAAAGATCATTATTTTGTGTATTTGGTGTAACAGAATATGTTGACTTGACATGCTAAAAACACATTATTTTTCAAATACTGTACATAATTGTAGGTCCTTTATGCCCCGCCTCTCTCAAACGCCCCGTTTTCCACAAAGCCCAGTCTGCTCTGATTGGCAGTCTGCTCTGATTCATTGTGATTGGCCGAACACCGCAAGCACTCATCGGAAATGTAACGCCCCTTACCATAATCACAAGCTTCATCTTTCAAAATAAATGTAAAGACAGTGAATAATGTCATTAGTGTTACCATCGCAAGCACTCTTCGGAAATGTAACGCCCCTTACCATAATCACAAGCTTCATCTTTCAAAATAAATGTAAAGACAGTGAATAATGTCATTAGTGTTACCATCAGTTCAAGCCCTGAAAGGGGAACAGAGTCGCGTGACAGACACAGTGATGAAGCTGGTATGTGTTTGCAGTACACAAGCCACGGTTAAGACAGCTGACTCCACTGTGATGTGACCCTGTCTCTCTCTCTCACACACACACACACACACACGATGCGCAAAACTCCGCATTTGAACAGTCAATAGCAAATACTTAAACTAATAACAAAACAGTAGCTGATTCAGAAGCGCCAGATTGTCATAGCAAAGTCAGAATGACCTCCTCTCCTAGGTTCACGAAACGGTCGTCCATAAAATGCATTGCTGTTCTGTTGTAAGTGATCTTAAAGATTCCTAAATGCATCTACTTCCGGAAGGCCAAATAAAGTGCTTTTGCTTTCGCCTAGAAACGCACAGCGTCTCCCTGACATGGCTGCTTCAACACTAATTGCGGTTACTGAAACCACGCCTTCTTTCTTTGCGTGAACATTTGGGCAGCATTACGCAAATATTTCCACATAGTGAGGTAGATATGTGGGGGCGTGTTAGAACAAGCTGTTTTAGGGGGGCGTGGCAGAGTCTTAACTTTGATAAAGAATATCTCTTTGGTTTTGAGACTTTAGTCTTTGCAACTTTAGGGATCTTATCTACGCACAATCAGCTTGTAACACTCCAAATAGAAAGGAAAACTTGAAATCGCATCATATGACCCCTTTAAAGCCACTGTGTGTAGTTGTGTATTTTTGCGACTTTGGAGCCCTCTACAGTTAAGTGAGTAGAATTCGTATGTCGTTGTCATATTTACAGTGAATTGCACTGTGGATTTGTTATTGTCGTAAACCAATCAGTCCTTTTCACTGAATTTCATACTCCATAAATCATAAGCTCAATTAATGTACATACTCCCAGGTTGGGAGTATCACCAGGTCAGTGTATCACCAGAATAACTTTGAATGATTTGAAACTGATATTTTAAGGTAAAAAAAACTTTAATAAAAGGTGCATTAAGTTAAAGGCAGGGCTGGCAATTTTAGAGAGGCTAGCAATAGCAAGCTAGCGTTGAAAGCATAAGATCCCATCCTCCCTGCAAATCACTCTCCAAAGCCACGCCTCCTCCAAAACACATGACTGCACACAGGCAGAGCAGAGGCTAACCAGCGACACGATGAGAGACGGCGTCAACACTGCCAGATCACCTCATGTCACATTCACCAGTGAGAAAATATTACAGTACAAAGCACATAATATTACAATAATGACGCTTCCATTCTCGCTCGGTCTTCTATAGCATAATGTAACTCACTGATGATGTGTTCTGAACAGGGTGCGCAGAGGTATGCACATACATACATTGACAGGCAGGCAGGACAGCCTATCAAAATCCTCGGACCAAAGGATATGATTGGACAAACATTTTATGGTCTATCCATCTTATACGCCTTCCACAGATGATATAAATACATTTAGACCACTTAACATAGTGATTGCTATCGAGATGTGAAGAGACTTCCAGCCAGCATCACAAAAAAAAAAAGTTTCTGAACCAAATCACCTACCCTGCCTTTAAGACTGAAGCTTAAAGGGTTAGTTCACCCAAAAATGAAAATTAGCCCATAAATTACTCACCCTCAATTTATCCTAGGTGTATATGACTTTCTTCTTTCAGACGAATCCAGTCGGAGTTATATTAAAAATTGTCTTTGATCGTTCAAAGCTGTTTAATGCCACTCAGCGGGTGTTGCATGCATCAGTCCAAAAGAAGTTAAATAAAAAACAAAAAAAATGTCTCACAGAAAGTGAGTCTTCTGAAAGAAGAAAGTCATATACACCTAGGATGACTTGAAGGTGAGTAATTTATGGGCTAATTTTAATTTTTGGGGTAAACTAACCCTTTAATAGTTTATTGATGGTAGGGTACAACAGGGCTAAAGGTGCCCCTAATATTATTTTCCTCTAAACCACTAGATAGCACAAAAACATTGCGTAACACTTTCCAAAACATCCGCTTTTCAAGATGCACATGTATTTTTGTCTGATCCTTGATGCGATCGCGCGGCAGCATATATTTTGAGACAAAGGTCTTCTTTATGATTTTCAGTTTTGTTTAAGATAATTAAAGCAACTGTTTTTAAATAACAAAATAATATGTAAAAGTATGGTATTTGGGGTAAAATGCGCCCCTGCTGTTGGGGCTAAAGGCGCACAGTAATTAACATGATAATTAATAGATGGCTGACTTTTCCATTTGTCGACATGACATGGTTAGATTCAGATGGTAAATATCATATATTATGTTGGGTGTCCATATTAGAGATAATCACCATGTTTAGAATGAAACCATCATATTTAAAAACATGATATTAATCATATCATATAATAAAATATCATTTGTTGTTACTACTGCAAATATATATATTCAATTATTATTGGATCTCCTTCAATACTTTCAGAATCTTTACTTATTAAAACGATTTTGTTTCTGTATTTTAAAATATATTTTTTATTATATTAACATTTTAATGACAGTATATTTATTGGGGGGAAAATTCTTTTATTTTTCAAAATAAGCAGAAAATAGTACTTTGCTAAGTAACTTTGCTAAAGTGATTGTTTTCAACAAGTATTAACTTAAGACATTATTCAAAAAAACATTATTTTAGCTGAAGTATTTGTATCGATACCGTGTGTGGGGTAAAAGGGATTTTTTCTTAAGGTGGGCCTTTAGCCCCGCTGTACCCTATATTTTATTTATTTAATGATTGATTCATTTCATTTGTTTAAATGACCAGGCATCACGGTAAATTTGAAGGGCTATGTTTTTATTACTAATGTCAAATCTTCTCCCTAATTCAGTGCTCAAATATGTGCTCTGTAGACTGGTTTACTCCTCACCAATGACACTGGATTACACTATATATTACTGGTTTAAGGGTTAGTGTTTGACTAATGGGTTTCTTGACCGATTGACAGGAGGACGAGGCGGGAGACGGCCGGTTCAGCTTCGCCGCCTACGGCATGGGTCCGGCGTGCCTCCAGGCCAAAGATGGCGTGGCCATCAAGGGCAACAACAACAACGCGCCCACCTCCACCAACCCCCCTGAGAAGAGCGTGGAGGAAATGCGCAAGCTCTTCATAAGCCGCGCCAAACGGATCGACACGGTGTCGCGCGTGGCCTTTCCACTGGTCTTCCTAATTTTTAACATTTTCTACTGGATCATTTACAAGATAATACGCAGTGAGGATGTTCACAAGCAGTAAAGAGATGCAAATCCAGCCGCCTCCACGCCCCTCCCCACGTCCCACCGTGCCCGCCTTCCTCTCACTGCAGCACTCTCACTCGCTTACGGTGATGACTAGTCCCCGGAAGAGGTATTTATTCCTTTTTTTCGTCTCTTTCTCTCCTGTCCTCCTGAATAATCCGGACCTGTGCAATAGCAATGCAGTAAAATGCATGATATATGAATGTGGCAATATATTTACTAAGAAAATGAAAATGACTAAAAGTAAATATTCAACTAAAGAACTTCTGAACGGATGACTGGGAATCCAAGAGGAAAACTTGTCCAACTTTTTTTTGCAACTCGAAGACGTACTGCATCGCGAGAATACGGAAAAACATTACTGCTGTAATATATCGTATATTTAAATGATAATACTTCAGTCATTGAAAATGAAACATTTTTGGGCGTCTCAAGGCAGTTTGGGGCTTCCATGAATACACAATGTTGCTTTGGTACACGTGTCCTGGGGTCTCACGATGTTTCATTCTGATATCGATTATTAATGGATCTTGATGAGTGCCAGTGAAAAATATATATTTATTCAAGCTATGATCAATGTGTTCCTCTATCTGTGCTCATTTTCAGGTTTCGTTTTGTTTAAAACATCAGATTATGTTCTGCTCATGTGCCAAACATCATCCTATAGGTTGACCAAACAATTTCATTGATTTATTCATGTGTTCACCTTTGGATATATAAGCTAAATAAACAAACTCTAAAATAAATTAAATATTAGTATGTGTAAAATAAAATATACTTTTATACTTTTGCATTCCTTGGTTTTGGCATTTTCATCATTCCAGAATATGTCAGAAACGGGCAGAAAGAAAAGCAAAGGGATCTTTCATAACTCATGTTTCATACAGTGTTATTTTTCTAAACGTGGTTTAGCCGTACAGCCCAGTGCCATGATAATAGATCTATATTTCCGACCAAATGTATATTACAGTGATTTTTCAGTCTATATGTATAAACACTGCATTGTGCAAAAAAATAAACAATGCACAAAGGTTTTGTTTATGATATTTAGGATGCATCCTCATCTGGCTTCTCTATGCAATAATCGGATATGCAATTATTTTCAGTGTTCATCATGTTGAATATGGCCATTTTATTCTGAAGGCCCCCCCAAAAAAATTATATTTCATACATGTACAATTTTTTCTTCCAGTCATGCTCATTTGCTGTCTGTGCATGGCTAGGGTTTTTTGTTTTGTTTTGTGGCGCAGATGATATAGATGTCATTTTTCACTTTTGTAATGTTTAGTTTGACTGCCGAACTGAAGAGAAACACCATTATATAAAGTGAGCATGTGTCAGGCTGTGTGATAGATGCTCTGTGCAGGATATGCAAGATTTTGCCCAATGCGTTTCATACTGTGTGTGTGTGTGTGTGTGTGTGTGTGTGTGTGTGTGTGTGTGTGTTTGTGCGCGAGTGTGCGCGTGTGTGCGAGTGTGTGTGTGTGTGTGTGTGTGTGTGTAACACTTTGTTTGTTTAAAACCAAAGAGCAGTTTACTCTGTTGTAATTGCCTTTCAGGTGTTCACATTTTTTTGTCTTCATTTCATCCTGTTTGATGTGACATTGACCAATTTTGTAAGGCCTGTAACAATTGTAATTTATTCTGTTTTTCACACACGTATTCAAGAAAACCTACAAGTGTATGTCTTTATACACTGCAGCTAGTAAGATATTTTGTGACGGTAAAATATTACCAAGAAGTACAAACTTCCATGTTGGTCTAAATAATGGTATCATAATATTTTGATGTATATGTATAATTTTGGTTAAGAGTGATACTTGAAGTTAATAGTTAATTGATGGCACATTTTATTTATTTAATAATTATTTATCTGTTCAATTTTTATTTTAAAATTTAAAAAATATATTTTTGAACATTTTATTTTTGAAAATAAATTATTTATTAATTTAATAATTTAAATGACCAGGCGCCATGGTAAATTTGAAGGGCTATTTTTGATTATTAATGTCAAATCTTCTCCCTCAAATGAATTGGCTTGTGATGCAGTGCTCTGAAAACTGGTTTACAGCTCACCAATGAAGACACTGGATTACACAACATATTAGACCTCGCTGTATGATACATTAAGCAGAAACTGAATTCTACTCCAGTTGCTCACCAGAAATTCAAGGAGGAAGAACATTGTAATGTGAAACGCTATCCACACGCTTACCTCCACGGGCAGCACAATGTAGCAGGAATGCATTTCACACATCATTTGAATGTTCACACATGATGAATTGTGCTGAAAGGAGCGTTCACGAGTGGATCTGTAACACTGCAAATAATATTAATCATTGTTATTTCAAATAGTCACCAAACTAGTCATTCTTCCAGCGGGTTACACTTCATCTGTGAGACTGATAGAGGCACACGATGTATAATATACATCACAGTGTACAGTGTGGAAAGTGATAAAGTTGCTTTATACACTTGATGTGCTCATTCTCGAGTCAAAAACACATTTAGAGAACATTTGTAGAAATGACTGATTTCTTTATTAATGAACCCTGCTTAAGGCTACTCACGACGTCGCTGGACTGTCCCCGGGCCCTCACACACTCCACATGCTAAACACAATATACAAAACAACTTATAACAAATAATAATACTGGCTCGGGAACACAAGGACAATGTGATGTGAAATATGTGCTACGATTTGTTATTTGGCTTAATAATCATGAAAATATCAATTTAATGTCCTGATGGTTTTAGAATCTTAATTTGAGGCATGATTTGTTGTTAAGCATTCACTTGTTTTGTTATTTTGATTAATGATTTTAGAGCAACTACCCAGGAATTGTTGATCTCTGAGTGACGACGGACATGGCGATCATATGTAACCTGTATGCAAAACTGTGGGTAAATTTTTATTTTTGCACAAGTTGGTATGGCCTTAATTTTGGGGTTTATTTGCTTCTATTGTGTATTGGCACAAAGTGCATCTCTTCATTCGCTTCTCGTCATAATCCGAGTGCACTTCCAAGCAGTGAAAAGAACAGCAAATTATTTTATTTTTTTTATGTTCCAATACTAAAACATGGAATTTTGCATGAATAGAATTAAATGGCAGATATTTTTGGCTTGTACAGAAATGTGAGCAATTTGAAGAAAAAAGGAATGTACCATTTCTGCTATATCTGTATATAACACAATATTTATTGAAATATGTCATAATGCTAAATCTAATTCTACTATTAAAGGTTTTCTGAACTAAAACATCTGAAGGGTCTGTGAGGATTGTGATGTTTATGTGAATCCCTGTGACCTGTGGGTAAATGGTGTGTGTGTGTGTGTGTGTGTGTGTTTCTTGAATTTCATTTATTCCAAGAAAAACATTCCATACCAACGGCTTGAATACACCTCTTCTATGATGAACATGTTTTCAACTTCTGAATGAAAATTATTTTTTATACTTTTGTGGGGATTTAAAAAATGACAGGGTTGCTGTAATGACGGAAAAGTGTGGTGAAATTCTTCACAATAGTAATTTTTTTTTCTAAAGAGCAGTATGTGAAGCAGTTATGTTACTGTTTCTGCTGTTACTCATAATATATGACAAAAAATGTGTCTGCCAAGTATGTCAGTATGATATACATATATCACATGCAGGAAGCTATACTTCATGTCAAAGTCATAGTTGTAACAAAAACCATATATATATGATATCAGAGAAGATGCAAGGTCTGTTTGGATTATTGGTCAAGGTCACTAATCACTAAAGTGCTCAGTAATATTATTGTTAAGCAGGAATAACTCTTGTATTACAGTTCTCCCTCTTTCAAAATTTAAAAGTCAAAAGTCATGTTGAAATAGTTTTTAATATTCTTATTTTGAAGCATTTGTTTGTTTGGAGCTTTATATACCCCAACCAATTTTTAGAGGAAAGTCAATTAAGCAGATTCAGGCACTGGAAAGTACACTTTGCACAAATTTCCCAGAGGCCCCGTATGGCTGCATTTGAATACATCCATACTCGGCCTTATGGCCATCCTCGCTTCGGCTTTTAAATTATGCAAGTGGATTATGAACCACAAAGGCTCAGTCAATTTTTCCCCTCGCTTGAGTAATCTCCAGACCACCCGGCCCCTCTGACTGCCCGGCTCGTGCTTTACAGTGGGACTGGAATTACATTACAGCTGACAGTGAAAACCGCCGCGGGGGCCTGAAGCCAGTGAAACATGAAGGCTTTGACAGAAAAAAAATTTCCCTCAATATATGAGAAATGAATATTTTCAGCCTGAGCTGGGAATCTTGAGCATTTTGTTTTATTAACAACTTTGCAATAAAATAAAAACTCTGGAGGCAAAATGTTTTGAAAGGGATAGTTCACTCAAAAATAGAATGAAATCTGTAATTATTTACTCACCATTATGTTGACCCAAGTGTCACTCCCGGATAATCAAAAATGGGCAAAAAGGCGGGAGCTGGTTGCTGAAACCACACCCACCTAGCTCGACAGCAGCGACAATCCACCTGTCACTCAAGTGGCCATGCCCTTAATTATGCAGAACTTTAAGGCTTAATATAATTTAACCGGATGACTTATAAAAAAAATGCACCCCCCTCACAGTTGTCATGAAGGGCAAAATTAGCTATATAAACCAAAATAATTTTTTGAACCAGGCTGTAAACATGTTTATTTCTGCTGTAAAGTTGGGCATTTTAACATGGGGAGTCTATGGGATTGACTCCCTTTTGCAGCCAGTCTCTAGCGGCCAGTTGATGAATTACAGTTGAAGTCACTTCCTTGTTGGCTTCCCCAGAGAGAGTGGGAGGTTGCTGCTTGATTGGAACATGGGCTGGAATTGGGAAGCACTGATGTATCTTATTGAAGTAATGTTGTCTCTGGTATTCTGAAGGGCAAAATTAGCTATATAAACCAAAATAATTTTTTGAACCAGGCTGTAAACATGTTTATTTCTGCTGTAAAGTTGGGCATTTTAACATGGGGAGTCTATGGGATTGACTCCCTTTTGCAGCCAGTCTCTAACGGCCAGTCGATGAATTACAGTTGAAGTCACTTCCTTGTTGGCTTCCCCAGAGAGAGCGGGAGGTTGCTGCTTGATTGGAACATGGGCTGGAATTGGGAAGCACTGATGTATCTTATTGAAGTAATGTTGTCTCTGGTATTCTGGTCTGTGAGCTTATATGCGTTCGGGGGCGTGGCTTTGGACAGCGATTGCAGGGAGGGTGGGACGTTTGCTTTCAGTGCTATCAGGCTAAAGTTAGCATTTTCCAAGATCTCCTACTGCACCTTTAATAACACAGCAGCAGGTTTATTTAGGCAGCTGTCTCTTTAAGACCTCACGCAATCTTACACATGAGTTTTGTTTTTCAGTTGTTTACATGAATACTTGCCAAGACTGGCATTTTGGCATAATTTTGTATGTATCTGGCCGTTTACACGCAATAAGGTTCAAAACACGACTCAAATCTGTAGTCGCACGCATTGGGCGTGAGCGATTACTGTATTGAGCTCTCTCGCGTCTTCTTGCTTTTAAATGGTTTAATTCGCTTGAGTGTTTAAATTGTTAAATTGATAAGGCTTAAAATCACTTGGAGTTCATATATTCCGTCAACTGAACTGTGGGGATTTACTGCGTTTTAAGTGTTATAAGGTAACGCTAATAAAGCCCACACTAAAATTCAAACCCTGTGATCGATGTAATGCTAAATTTATCCAAATCTGTTCTGATGAGGAAATCTACATCTTGGATAATCTTGGGGGGTTAAGGCATAAAAGCATCAAGAATAAAAGCATCAAGAACAAAAGCAACCAATACAATTCTTCAAAATGTCATTTTAAGTTTTGGAACAACATGAGGGTAAGTAAATAACGACTGAGTTTTTATTTTGGGTGAACTAACCCGAAAATAGCTGTGCCGGTGTGTGTTGTGTTGCGGAGCCCAAGGCTTTGTGAGGGTCCAGCTGGGGGGCCGTATGTTTGGTGGGTTTGGCCAGCTGTATGAAGACATCTTGAGCTCATGTGGGTCATTGGGGGATGTAGGGCTTCAAAATAAAGTGGCGGAGAGAAGCTGCACTTTCCCTCTCATGAATACTAATGCTGGGCCACTTGCTGGCACACCCTACATCACGGCTACAGCTAATCATACTCACTGTTAATCCAGTTTAGAAGGTGCTACAGTTGTGAGATTTAGTCTGATGCAAGCACATGAATTCATAATTAGGCCCAGTAATCTCAGTAATGCAATCGCACTGAGAAAATAGGAATATGATTGGCCGGCGTGTGCCTCAGGATAAGGCATCTGTAAAGAACACTGCTGGGGCAATATAACATATTGATATTTGTTGAGAGTGGCAGCACAATATTGCAAAATCTCATCATTTTGGTGGCTGGGTGATGGATGTCTATAGGTGCAAAATTGACTTTTCTGTTATGACCAGCACTACCCGGCAGTAATGGAAGAAAGATTGAGCCGATGCCACGAGGATCTTCAGGTGCTGGAGCCTTTAGAAATTAGATTTGCATATATTCTTACACACACACACACATTATATATATAGATATAGATATACTATTTATCCCAGGGTTCCCATAACTTTTGGCCAATTAAAGATGCATTTAGTAGTTCTTTGGCTAGTGTTTAAGTACTGAAAGCACAAAGGTGTTCGACGCTGCACTTCCATCTATCATCATGGACCAGCATTATAAGTTTTTATAGTTTTATGTAAATTACATTAAAACCTATGCTGGGTAGTAACCAGTTACATGTAATCTGGATTACGTAGTCAGATTCCAAAATTAAGTACTTGTAATTAGAGTAAATCTAATTTCAAAATACTCAGATTACTGTAAATTTTACTGATTACATGACTTCATGTTATTCACACAGTGGCAGTAAACTAATCATATTTTTTTATTCTCACTAATTCTTAACCTCTTGAGCAACTAGGCCATGTATGAAACAAATAATTATGCAAATTACTAAACACTGGTGAGGCATAGCTGTGAAACACTATTTCATGTTAATTAACGTTTGTTCATGTAAAACAAGATTTCCAAATGTTTCTGTTAGCCAAACTCCTTACAATTAATATTATTTGTTAAATTTTTCTAATATAATTATTCGATTTTTATCAACTTACAAACCCACTGCAGTTAGAATATTAAGCACAATTTGGGAAACCCTGGTGTAATGTACTGTTTAATGCATTTCATAATGTTGATATAAGAAGGAATATATTTTCTGCTTTTTTATATCTATGGTATGGTCTTTAAATGGTCAGTTTAAAACAAGTTAGATTAAAAAGTAATCTAAAAAAATAGTCAGAATACATGACCTAAAATGAGTAATTTAGTTACATTACTAACCAGTTTTATACAATTGACAGTTGACTACAATTTGTACATAATCTACCCAACACTGTAAATTAACGCTAGTTTTGGAGAGTGGTTTATACAAATCCCTTCCCTGTCCGACAAAAAAAAGCAACTTTGGCGTCACATCTCACTTTCTCCATAATCAAATTTTCCTTTGTGATTTTTTGGTCTTCCCGTCTTCTACAGAACTGCTCTTTCGATGGTTTACGCTAATAAAAGAACGATGTTGTTGCTTTTTCTTTTCTTTTTTGCTCTTCGCATTACTAAGCAACATTATGCTTCTAGCATGTCTTTAAGAAGCACAAGCCAATGAGTGCAAGGATTCTCTGAAACTATGTGGGTCACATGATTTCAATATGACACTATTCAGATGACTCTTGACAAAAACTATTTCTTAATGTGTAAAACTTAAATTAGTACTGAAATATTGAAAGCACCTGTCATTTCTATGACTTTATCATTCATTAATGCTGCATAAGCACTTTAAAATCAACGTTACAAAGCAATTTTAACCAAAGAAATATTCTGGATATGAAGGGAGGGGAAAAAAAACAATACTTTAACTGCACAAAAAAAGACAATTCTAAGAAATGTTCTGAATTCCCCCCCGGTCAAATTTTTATATGACCGCCATTTAAAATTTCTTGTCCAGTATAGTTCAAAATGAATTGTCCATTATTGAAGGCATTTTGTCAATTTTACATCAATTAAATAATAAAAATCAGATGAACAATTTAATTATAGAAAACTACGCAACATACACGCCAGAATAGAAAATGCGATGTTAAATTATCTACATCACTTGATCAATAAGCCCCACCCACAGATTAATACAATTTGCATACGGTTGACTTTGAAAATGAAAATGGTAAAATAAACTAAAATCAGCCTTTACATTTTAATTGGAGTTGTCTCTATTTTTGTGTGAACATTAATAAAAAGCTTCATTACAAAAAATGTATTTGCATTCTTTCGCATTCACCTTTTCAATTTAATATCGTAGTCTTGCCTCAAGATTGCAGTGAAGAACCGTATTTTATACCATATAAGAACAGAACCGTATTTTATTTTTCAATTTGACATGGATGACACATCGTCACAGTGGAAATGGGGGGGGGGAGAATTCATTTCCGATTTTGGCATATTTTGCGTGCACTTCTCTAATAAAATTGTTAATCTGGTTTTCATTTTCATAATTTAATTGATTTAAAACGAGCAGAAAACACCATCCGTAGTCTATAAGCTACAAGAACGCTACATTTATTTGTAGTTCCAAGCCTGGAAGCCCAATTCTTGTATTTCCACATTTTTCAATGGCTATAGGAAACCCTGTCCATATTTCTTCCCCCAGACAAGACACACCCATGCTTCAAAATAGTACATAGAGTTTATTTTGTTCTCTCAACAGTGGAGTTGTTAAAATATGTTGTCATTCTTGATGAAGTGCAACAGTAGAAGGCAAACAGGATTTTTTACATGCTAGATAGTCACTCACACACAACCATGATTTGACTTGGCAACAAATCCAAATAAAACCATACTTGCACTTGACCTGAAAGCGGGCGCTAGCAATACACAGGATTGCCCAAGCAGTAAAAACACGTTCCTTTAAGAAACAGGGAGAGAACGCTAAAACCAAATGCTAGGTTTCTCCTTTCCCCAATTCAAGTAGTTTTGTTTTTCTACAACAAATTCAAGTTCAATCTCAGAAATAAAAGGAAGAGTCCAGATAAAGAAGAACAATCGCACTCCTGGGTCCTGGAGTGAGGGATGGAGACAGGGAACAGGGAAGCCATCGGTGTTATCCAAGGTGACTTGCATCAGCAGTGAATGACGTAGGAGCTGCCTCACTGACGTGGTCCTGCGTAGCGACCCTCACTGGGTCCTGTGCCTCGACCGGCTCCAAAACTGGGTTTCTGAGCCATGCCTCCGCGGGTGGGCGGTCCCCTTGACCCGCCTACCCTGTCACGTGGTCCCCCCGGGCCTCTGGGGCGGATGTCCCGCCTGTCACCTTCACGGGCCGAGCGGGTCTTCTTCTCCTCTACGTTAAGCCGAACGTCTCCTCGCAGTTTAATGGGCTACGGCATAAAGAAAAGGTCATTCTGATGATCGCGCATTAGTCAAAACATCCTGTACCGCACAACATCTGAAAGCCACACGTACCCGATTGCTGAGGATCTTCTGCACAGGCTCAGCGTCATCAAACACCACGAATCCAAAGTTAGGCAGCTTTCCACCGCTGTTGATTCTCAGCTCAAGGACAGTACCGTACTCTGCGAGAGAGATGAGCAGGCAAGTCAATGCAGGAGGAGCTGATCTACATTTTAAATCAGTTCAAGTCGAAAATTAATGCTTGCATCACTTACGTTCAAAGAACTCCTTGAGCTCGTTCTTATCCACGTCGTGAGGTACATTTCCAACAAAGAGTTGGTGGCTGTCGGGATACCGGACTGTTCGCCGCACCTCTGGTTCCCCGCTCTCACCCTCCCGCACTGCTAACCAGAGATAAACCATTAGATAAATGACACTGCCATCTGCATATGATGCATATCCTTTCAGGTTGCTAGTGGACCAGCCATGATGTGTGCTCTTAATTTAACTTGCAATTTTGTGCGAGATGCTATTTATATGCAGACACGAGGTTCATTACAATGCTCAGGTCGCCTTAAGCGGTTTTGCCAGAGCCAGTAAGATTTTGATAGATTGCAAAACCAGCTAATAGCCGAACGTCTCCTCGCAGTTTAATGGGCTACGGCATAAAGAAAAGGTCATTCTGATGATCGCGCATTAGTCAAAACATCCTGTACCGCACAACATCTGAAAGCCACACGTACCCGATTGCTGAGGATCTTCTGCACAGGCTCAGCGTCATCAAACACCACGAATCCAAAGTTAGGCAGCTTTCCACCGCTGTTGATTCTCAGCTCAAGGACAGTACCGTACTCTGCGAGAGAGATGAGCAGGCAAGTCAATGCAGGAGGAGCTGATCTACATTTTAAATCAGTTCAAGTCGAAAATTAATGCTTGCATCACTTACGTTCAAAGAACTCCTTGAGCTCGTTCTTATCCACGTCGTGAGGTACATTTCCAACAAAGAGTTGGTGGCTGTCGGGATACCGGACTGTTCGCCGCACCTCTGGTTCCCCGCTCTCACCCTCCCGCACTGCTAACCAGAGATAAAACATTAGATAAATGACACTGCCATCTGCATATGATGCATATCCTTTCAGGTTGCTAGTGGACCAGCCATGATGTGTGCTCTTAATTTAACTTGCAATTTTGTGCGAGATGCTATTTATATGCAGACACGAGGTTCATTACAATGCTCAGGTCGCCTTAAGCAGTTTTGCCAGAGCCAGTAAGATTTTGATAGATTGCAAAACCAGCTAACCAAGTCTTTTGTAAACTTACACCAAATACACAAAATGTTCTTTTTAGCAACATCAAAAAAAAGCGACCCCTTTAAAAACATTCATGTGCACCAATACTAGATTGATTACACTTTTGCACACCTCCTGGCCTTGCTGTTCTGTTGGCTGGAGAGGGTCCTGGTCTTTGGTCACGTGGTCTCTGGTCTCTCTGGGGTCTCTGTGCTGTGGTCTGTGTTTCTGCCTTCACCTCCACACGCAGCTATGGATCACAAAAACATCTAATCACCTAGTGCAATAAAACAGAGATTCCATGCAAAATTTAAAAAAATAAAACCCCACACAATTATAATAATCTACAACCTGCTATAGTTGTAGTATTAATTTTTTTTTTTTTAAAGTTATAAGCGTTTCAGAAAGGCAGGGCATAGAGGAGAAACAATGTACAGTATGTGGAAAATAATGTGTTTTTTTTACCTTAAACCGCATAAACATTTCATTACACCAAATACACAAAATGTTCTTTTTAGCAACATCAAAAAAAGGCGACCCCTTTAAAAACGCATCAAAACATTCATGTGCACCAATACTAGATTGATTACACTTTTGCACACCTCCTGGCCTTGCTGTTCTGTTGGCTGGAGAGGGTCCTGGTCTTTGGTCACGTGGTCTCTGGTCTCTCTGGGGTCTCTGGGCTGTGGTCTGTGTTTCTGCCTTCACCTCCACACGCAGCTATGGATCACAAAAACATCTAATCACCTAGTGCAATAAAACAGAGATTCCATGCAAAATTTAAAAAAATAAAACCCCACACAATTATAATAATCTACAACCTGCTATAGTTGTAGTATAAATTTTTTTTTTTTTTAAAGTTATCTACGGCCAGTATAAAATGTAACCGCATTAATTGGTTTACAGAAAAGCAATATAGCCTAAAGGTATGTAGTAGAAATTTGGGATCAGAGCCCATCGATTGAAAGACTTATACCCGCAGCAGGGTTAATTTCATACAGTTTGTTCAGACACTGATCCCATTGATTTTGCCATTTGTTGATGACTTAAGATATTGCAGACCGGAAGGTCATAGGAGTTGTGTAAGTGAAATAAAATAAAATCCAAACGATATAAAAAAAACTCACAATATTATGTTAAACAAGAGGTTTTAAATTGACTGAATTAAGTTATTAATAGATCTTAAAATTGTCATCTCTTTGCATTAAAAGCAGAGCAGTCCATAAGGATACCGAATATAATAAACGAAAAAGCAACTAATAGCCAGGATAACCCTAAAACAAAATTCCTTGAGTGAACAGGTTGGTTGTGAACGTCTACCTGCGCAGATGGGACTCGGACAACATGTGGAGGGACTCCTGTGGCGGGGACCACTCCTCCTGGTGGGAGATTCTTGCTAGTGACTGAAGCCCAAGATGACGGCTGAAACAAAAAAGCATTTGACTTCACAGGTGAGCTCACTCATCCAGTTTGTGATGGCTGCACATTTTCACAAATACAGGTCTATTGACACGAGAGAGACCCAACAGACAGTGATGAATGAGGGTGGTCTTACCCGGTTGTCCTCTGGCATGGCGGGTGCCGTGTCAGCAGGTGTGGGTGAAGAGGGAGATCTCTGGATCTTTTCCTCCATGTGAACCTCAGGCTCGCTGACAGGCTCCGGTTTCAGCTGCACAGCTGCTGGCTCAGGCTCCACCTCTGCTTCTAGCTCAGGCTGAGGCTCTGGGCTTACAGACACCTCTTCTTGCGGCACCTCGGGCTCCACGCTGTAAATGCACAAACTTGTATGAAATTTGCAAACAGTCACCCCTGTTTCTTGAGGGAATCATATCGAATAGATTTTGATTTCTAACAGACACCAGACAAAGTTGGTTACAGAAGAGTTGATGTATGGTTAGTTTTGACCTACAACACACCTGCATAGTTTGCATCCTGCCTTACTCAAATGACTACCAACAACTAGATTAAATGAGCTGCAAAAACGAATGCTAGTTACCAAGGTGGCTGTTCATAGTACCCAGCAGACTCCTCCTGGACCACTTCAGGCGAGTGCACCCGCTCCAGCTCCTCCACATCCTCCTCAGACTCTGTGAACAACAGGAGATAAATTAAGTCATCTGCTCACAGCAAGAGCAATTTGGAGACATTACTCTGAAGATCTCTGAAATACACCAATAATATCAGCTGCTCACCCTCAGGAGGTTCTGAGTCCGAGTCCCCAAACACTTCATCCTGGTACCGGAAGATATCGTTGTGTACGTAGAACTTGTTTGCAACTGATCCCTAAAAGATTACAGCAATGTAAAAAATAATGAATAACAGAACATTATCTGAAAGGAAATATTTTTTGTTGGCATAAATGTTGCCAAATGTGCCTCAGAAATTACTGCAATAGGCCCTTTCGCACCGCTTTATTTCCAGAACTAAATGTACGGTACTAAAGTACTGGGACGATTTCGTGCGAACCATTTTCCAGTACCATTTAAAGGGTTTGCATTCGCACCGACAGTGTGTACTAGAAAGTGACGTAAGCCGGTCGACAGCGACGTCATTTGTGCGCGGCGTTCAACAACGTTAACAACAGGAGGATGGAGGACGCTGTGATCAGAGCTGTGTGTTTGTTGTGTCTCGCGGGCTTCACAATAATAAACATGTAAAGTCGACGTATACGTAAAGCGATTGAAAGAACGGAAAGGAGGACTAAGAATCTCCAACGACAACTGGCAGTGCTACATTTGCTACAAGTGCCTGCACTTCAGCGTCCGTCCATCTATCGCTGTTCTCCATACTTGCAAAATAAGTTGACAATGTTTACAGTATGCTGACATGGCGTTTTAAATCATGGCGGGGGAGGGGGTTTTCGTACACGTTTGGCCAATCAATGTCTACTTGCGTCACGATTAGTACTGTGCTGGTTAGACCCTGCTCCGTAGTAGGAGCTAATTTGGTTCTCGAAAAAGGCAGTCCGGTACTAAAATCGCTCCCAGTTCCGGCGGTGCGAACACGCCGAAAAGTGGGTAGTTCCACAATTAGTTCTGGTACTATGAAAAGGTTCCTGCGGTGCGAAAGGCCCTATTTTATGAGCTACGTCTTGCACTAATCAAATATCGAAGATCAGAACAAGCTGATGCTTCCATAACACACAAACCCTTTTTTACTCCACTCAGGATCAATATCTAGCCAAAGATTTCCACAAGAAGTCACAATTGATCCCATTTACTTTATCACAAATTACTGGTCTGGTGGTGAACAAATCATCAGTGTTAAACGAAAGAAACCATCTGACTTCGCAATCTTAAGATAAAATCTATTTTTTTTCCCCCTCTCTGGCATTCCTTCAGCTGCCGTTAGTTTGACTTCCTTAACCAAGTCTAGAGCTATAGGCGATGAAGGCATGCCTAGATTTTTTTATTTTTCTCATTCACTGTTCAATTTCTCTCTGAAATACAGCACTATACTTAAGTTGACTGCGACTTTAAAATTCTTTGATGACTGAGTATTGTTTCCATTAAAACAAAATGCCTATCAACTCATATTGACTTTTTCCACTTTGCAGGTCTTTGAATTCAGGCTTTGCTCAAATGCAACCACGCATTTAAAATGATTTACGCCTGCATTGGCATATGTTCAGAGACAAGTTTAATTCACCCGAGGTCATGTTGACATTTTAAACTGATAACATTTATGACAAAATGTTCATACCTCAGGTGCCAGAACAAATGTCTGCATGAACTTCCTCATGGGCTGCATGTTATTGGACAGCTCCCCCAACACTTGCACCACCACTCCCTCGTTCAGGGTGGCGTGAGCATCGACATGCCTGATCTTAGTGTGACAATCACGGAAGCTCAGCGCCATCACCTTCTTATGGATTTCCTGTTCAGAAAGAAAAATATTACATTGAGCTACTGAACCAAATCATAAACGGCATTAAGAATTCACAACACTTGTATTAAAACTCACAGACTGCCCATAGACCGCTTCAGCTGTACAGTATTTGAAAAATAATGTGTTTTTTGAACATTAAAGCATGTCAACATATTCTGTTACACCAAATACACAAAATAATGATCTTTAAAAAAGCATCATATGACCCCTTTAAAATACATAAAAAATACTCAGAGCAAGGCCGTTTTAAGACCATTAACGTTTGCATTGTGAATGTGATCATTTATGGGATATTAATTTATTACAGCTAAACATTTGCCTCTTTCTTGTTATTAAAATATTAGATAGTAATAATAAAAATAATAAATTTCAAAAGCGTTCTAATTACTGCAATTTGAAAATCATTTCATTTTAAGAATAGCACTATATAGCCTGTTTATGCATCATGGTAATACTTGTTTTACAGATTTTAAATTATGCTGATTAACCCATTTAAGACCACCGCAGTTCATAGTTGTCATTTTCCTTTTGTAAGTATTTTTCTAGATGTTATCTATGTTTTATTTCTCAATGACATGCAAGCAAACAACCAAATAAAGGATTTCAAGAAAGGGAAAAAAAGGGTATTCACTTCCTTCCTGTCACATGAAGCTGTCAAGTTCCTACCCCTACTTCCAGGAAGCATGGCGAAGGCAAACCCTCCCAAAGAAATGTTATTTTCATGTGACTAATAAGTATTTTTTGTTGACATATATATAGTATCTACATAAACATGAAGGTCTCTAGAATCATCCAAACAAAACAAATCTTACAGGAGATCTATAGTTTTTTGTATACTTAATCAAAAGTCCAAGCGGCAACTATAGTTGACTTGTAAATACATATCATGGGGAAACTGGGTATACTGTGTCAATAGGTTAATAAATCAAGGTTATTGGTCTTGTTTAGTGCTTTTTGCTTTCATAATATCCCACCTAAAACAAAACTTAACCCTTTAACTGACATCTCTACTGTACAGTAGACCTTCATTTGATGGGAATAAATCTGTGAAAAGGAGGAGATGAGAAAGCAATCTTTCCACAGCTCTACTACACTTCTGTGTCTGCTTTTGCCAGTTTTCAAGTGACAGCAGCAGTTTACAAACTTCCGTCAGTCACACAAAAGGAAGAATGGAAAGATAATGCATGGGATTAATTGCCTTAGATGATCTTTTTCTCCCTTTTATGACATTATGTCTTGTAAGGGGCAAAATATAGAGGCCTTTTTATACAGTTTGGAATGCGTTTCATTCTAATTGGTCAAGGACCCTAATTATTTTTATGACTAGTAGATTCCATTATAATGTTTAAATTCAGACGTTTGCGGAAGTAATGTGTTTACATTTTTATTATTATATGAAATCACCTACACTCTAAAAAAAGCTGGGTTAAATACAACCCAATGCTGGGTAAAATAGGGACAAACCCAGCAATTGGGTTAAATGTTTAACCCAGCCTTCCTGGTAGTAACCCAACCGCTGGGTCAAAACAACCCAATTACTGGGTTTATCCCTATTTTACCCAGCACTGGGTTGTATTTAACCCAGCATTTCTTAAAGTGTACTACAGTCAGCCAATGAATACTAGGGGCCTAAAAAAAGGTGTACTTTTCTTTCAGGTATACAGATGTAATATTTTCTTCATTCTATTTATTTTCATTTACATAACACACCCCTAAGAATGAAAATACCTGCATGTTCAATAATAAGTAAATAAATAAACAAACAATCATGAGGGTAGCCTACACATGATCATTATTTAAATAAGCATACATTTAAAAAAGAATATCATAAATTTCATGAATATCAAGGACTTTTGTCAGGCTTAATCCATTTGACCTAATCAATATGTGCCTATTCATAAAATATGTGATATTTTACATATGTACATAAAGTATAGTATAAAAATATGTTTATGTAAATTTATAAAACTACTCCTTGTAGGCTAGATTCTTTCTTCTGTTGAGCACAAAAGAAGATATTTTGCAGAATGTTGGTAAACAAACAGTTAAATGCGTCATTTTCTTTCAGGTATACCTTTTTTATTATATAGATGTAATATTTTCTTCGTTATATTTATTTTATATTTATTTATTTTCATTGAACTTTCTGATACACAATACCCACTTATTGGGCAACTTAATGGCTGCACTTTGTTCTGCACTGTGTTCCACCGCTTTAAGACAAGTTGTGTTTTCATATTCAAGAGATTATAAGCTAGATGCAACTTTTTTGGGGGGTTTGCATCGAACTTTAATGCATGATAAATTTGTTTATGAATAAATATTGATCTGTTGAAAGCAGTTATTTTCAGTTAGATGCCAAAAGTTCTCCTCCTATTCAAATTTGACATTGAAGTGGTGCATACAACATATCTGCCCACCGGCAACTATAGCTGCCGCACATTCAAATACGATTTTCAAGAAAAGAAAAAAACCTGGGGAAAATAAATGCAGAACATGTTCACATATGACACTATTAACATGACTATATGCATGAAACCATTCAGAAAATTTGGGCACACATGGGTTAACAAATATGCTATATGCATTTTATCTTACTATGTCACAATACAACGATATTGCTTCACTGAAGCATAGTAGAAAATAGGTAGCGTAGTCTAGTAGAGTAAAATGAATGTCTGGACAGGTTTTTTTATACAGTAATGACATTGGGTTAATTAATTTCCTGAAAATAACGTAGCCCAACGTTTCTTAATATCTTAATAGCCCTATACACATATACATCATTTTCATTTAGAAAAATATTGTTTATATATCTATTTTATTTTATTATTTTTTGTTTATTTTACTTTATTTTATTTGCTTTATTTTTTTATTAACTTATTTATGTTTTATTTTTATTTAGAGTTGCTAGTATTCATTACTAGGCTTCTTGAGATTGACTCTTTTTTGGTTGACAGATGACATTGTGGAGAAAATTTGAATTTTTTTTTTTTATAAATTATGATTAGTAAATATGAATATCTTGAAATAATACACTGTCCATTAGGGGGCGACACGCTTCCCATAGATGCAACAATTTGCGGTTGAAAACGATACAGATCATTTGTTTGCAGGAATATCTACTAACAATCCATTAAATCTACTATTAAACTATTAAATCCCACCAGATTATGAAAAAAAAGGCTTTTTGCAAACTAAATAAAATGAATAATTTTTTTATAATTTGTTCAACATGTTCTGTGGTATATTCACCAATGTTTGAGTGCTTCCTGTCACTCAATATGCATCAGTTCTGTCTGATATAAAAAAAATTGTATCAAATATTTATTATAAACATCGAGAAATCCAAGTGGAAAAATATTTTAATAAATATCTGATGTGTTTTTAAAAAGTATACGCACGCAGCTGTGAAATCTTATTTTATATTTTTTAAAGAAAACACTTGCTTCTGTCAGTAGTATTTCTTTAAAAAGCATGCTTATATTTCAAGTGTATAATATATATTTTATGTAGTAGGCCTATCAGTCTGAGAACAGGTTGTTTTAGGAGTAGTGAGCAAAGTCCAATATTAAAGAGGGCACAGGGCAAAAAGGCCATAAAATAAGACAGGAAAAGACCTGATATTTAAAATGAACATCAAAAATACGTTCTTCTGCTTTTTGTTTTTCTGATATCTAACATTCAGTATATATATACATACATACAGTGTATATATACTGTATATATAAAACCTTTTATTCCAGGTCTATGGTGGTTTTCTGTATTTAAATCTGTACTTACAGGCGAGTGATGTTGAGTGTGTAGCTATAATATCAAACGTTCTTTGGATGAAAACACCCAAATCAACTCTAAAACATGAAGAAATCACTCTCAATAATATCTGACACTGCTAGTGAGTGATAACGTATGTCATCATTTTGATCAAATGAAGAGAAAATCAGCTGAAATACTAGTTGATTTATGTCTAGTGATTGCTGTTGGGGTTTTAGGGCGTGTGTTAGTAATGTTCCATGTTTTGTGATCTGTTTTCAGGGTTAAGAAGCAGTGGAGAAGAGTGTTTTTCCCCTCCCTGGTGCAGAAGTGGGCTGGACTGCAGCACAGTGTTCTGGCTGGAGCTCTGCCATTGTTTGAGATTCCTGACGCGAGTGTCTGGCTGGAAGGGTAAGCCTGGTGACTGGGTAAATCCTGCTCTCTTTAGCTTTGCTTTCCCATGACCGTCTATTCCCACTGAGACCATACACTATTTTTCCCCACTGCTACATTCAATACAGCACATGCAACATACTTAAAAGTTCAATCTGCTTTAGTTTGAACTATATAGTAGAGCCTGAATTAGTAGCCTTTTAGAAATATGAACATAGCATATGAATAAATAGCATGAAACATTACAGCACACAAAAACAAACATTAAAACTATTAGAATTGTCCTGCTTTTAGGATGTGGAATAATCTAAAATGCTTAAGAAAATATTCTTATGCGAAATTATTAATAATTATTACAAATCTATGAATACATGCTTGTTACAGGACCGGTTCAGTTTGATTTCTTGACATTTTTAGCATTTACTGTAACTGTTCAGTTCAACCAGCATTGCGCAGTTAAACACTGAGCTAGCCACACTGGCTCGTAGATTTAAAAATAATCCTTTAAATACAGGATCCTAAAATATATTTTTTCAATGCAAAGGCAAGAACCTTCCACCCTCGAGGAAACTACTAACATATGTGCTCCAGATGTGTAGCCCGATTGACCATGCAGCATTGTTTTCTGTTTATGTAGTCATATTCATATTTACTTCAATGCTAAAATTATCCTGGGTGCCTGAATAAAACAAATGATCTGCAAACATCATGCTTAACAATGTTTTTCATTTTGCCCATAGCAAACATTAAAGTATAAATGGGTTATGCAATTATATACCTGGGGGAACAGATCAAGATAAATGGAGAAATGCATGCAAAGATTGAGTTTGGAGATTTCAGTAGCTTTTATTCATGTAAAGAGATTCATAGTGCTCACATTGTGGCAAATACTGCAAATGTATGTGAACATGTTAGAGGGAGGGAAAAAAAATCAATCTCATCCTGCGAGATTCTGTCCTCTTGAATTCAAATAATATTTCCTTTTATTATTCAACTTTTCAAACGCTCAACATTTGGCCCTGATTTCTGACAGGAAACAATATGCAAATAAAAACATCACCCTGCAGATATCCAGGGCTCAAATTAAAAGACGTTATCAGATTTAATAAAGACATCAAAACCACCCCCAAAGAGTGCAACAAACAAAACTAAAAGTTTATAAAGCAAGCAGAAAGAACATTTATTTGGAAACTTTATTTTGTTTTTGTACATTTCCACCATCAAAATTCCAAACTGACAATTCAAGCCCTGATTCTGAGTGTAAAAGACATTTGTGGATCCATTTCCAAAACAAAAAAAGTGTTGCAACGTACACAGTTCATCATATTAACTCTCTCTTTAATACAGCCTGTCCAACAGCTGCTTGGCCAACTTAAAACGGTAGTGTTCAGTCACTCATTTCGATAGTTACTGTGTGCATTGTGCACTTTTTTTTAAACATTATGAATGTTTAGTGGTATATGCAGGTTGTTAGAAATCGCAATTAGCACCTTTACATTGATTTTAACTTAAGGATTAGCACCTCGCCCCAATAGTAAC